TCTAAGTTTAGCAGGGAACCGGTCAGATTTTCAGAAGTACCAAATGAAATGATGGACCACAATTACACTCATTGCGATTTGCGGGGTCAAAAACTTCAAAGAGACGAGAACTAGCAAAGCTTGTAGTTCCAGCGAAGTTCATTCTGTTCAGCAGCTGGTGCCCAACATTTCACCAACCAAATTACCTAGATGGATTCAAAGATAAGCAAACACTTTGATTTTTACTGACTTTGCAATCAAGTTGACGAATGAATTGGAATAATGGCATTGCCTCGATCTCAAAATGCTCTTTCTTCGATACTTGATTCGTACACTAACTTACCAATTGCTATCGTTCAAAAACCAGCCAAGGGAAGAAAAGATATTAACAAAAACTGTATCTTTATATACTAGTCTATGCTAAAACTATATCTAATCTACATCGTCGTCTCTCTCTGTACTTTACAACCTCTGGACTTCCTCATTGGCCTCCGAGGCTCGCACGTGCGTGCATATATATTATATAGGATAGGAGACTAAGACAAGAGGGAAAGAAAGAGAAATAAAGTGGCAGAGGAAGCAACCAATGAAGTGTAAAGAGCAGAAGAAGAAAGGGTCTTCGTTGAGTCTCCAGTGAAAAAGTTGGGAAACCATGGAGGAGGACTGTTACTGTTTCCCTGCACCACCGCAGGGACCTCCCCTGTCGTCCCACTCCCACCTCCAGACCCGTTATTTGTTGTGGTTGTTGTCTGCCCCGACCCATTACTTGTTGTTGGAGACGTACTAGCAGATTTTTGACTGCATGCACCACATATAAATCAAATTATAAGTAGAGAAAATGTAAATGAGACCCACCCAACCCAACGCAACCCAAGTAGCTGATTTCTTTAAGAATTATTTATGGCTGTTTCTCTAACATTGAAGAACAATCAAAATCAATCAATAGTAATCTGCTTTCCTAGTAATGAGTTGCTGCTGGCTTGCGGGTGTGGCTCACAAAAGATTAGTATAATAGTACATGAAAAAAGTTGCAGGAAAAGCAGGACGGGAATATTGGGTAAGAAGATAACACTAATTATGAATAAAATATAAATTACCTTGTTGTGGAAGGGCAGATTGTTATGGTGTAATCAGCTCCAGTACAAGTAAATGTACTGCTGGCATCGTCATACGCGTAGCTATACGATCTGGGACACGCGGCTTTAAACATCTCCGAATAAACCGACGGCTTACAAGTGTCGGGGGTACCAAACGCGCCGTTGCAACAATACTCCGGGCTCCCAAAAGCCTCACACGCACTCTTACACGCCGCGCCGTCCCCGACCCGTAACTCAGCCGGGCACCGCTGGTTCAAGTCTGTTGCGCACCCGGTCGACAAACAACTACCCGACCCGCCGCTCGGCTCCACCATCATGGGTAAGTTGTAGCCGTCCACTAAGCTGACGTCGTAGAAATCCTGGTTGTCGGAGCCGCCGATCGTGAACTCGGCTAGAGTGGCTGGTGGGTTAGCGCCGGCGCCATTGCACTCGACTTGGTTGGAGCCGCAGTCGCCGGTGGTGCAGGTGCCCTGACCGGTGGTGGGGTCGAAGTTGCAACCGGTTCGAGCCCAGAATCGGCCTGACCAGTTGGGTGGGGATTGAAATGAACGGGAGGCGCCGGGTTGGAGTTGGAGGCCGGTGCTGTCTAATCTGCTACTGCCGGCATTGGATAGAATTCCGGGCCATACAGTGTAGTCGCACTTGTTTATGATTGTAAATGTAGCTCCCGATATGCCTGTAACATTACATATATAGATCAAAGAAGAAATGTTATGTTTAATTTTAAACATAAATAATGTGATAATAATATAAATTTAAAACATCTTGAGGAAATTAACATACGTACGTACCTTTGCAAATTGTAAACATAATGAGGGTGATGTACAGAGGAGAAAAATGGAATATGGCCATCAGATTCAGATCCATTTTGGAGAGTGAATTACTAAGGGAATTATCAGTGATTTTGGTGATGATTGAAAATATTTTATTATGTACTGAAAGAATGCTTGTATTGACTAGCCTAGATATCCAGAGAGAGAGAAAGAAAGATAGAGAGGATATATGAACTCCAATAAGAAGATTAATAATTTGAGAGAGAGAGAGAGAGAGAGAGAGAGATGGAAATGAATGCAGAATGGAAAACAGATTTAGAGGGCGAAGGAATAAATCTGTGACTTGTATGTAATGCTTAATTGTGTAAGTAGGATCGTGTGGGATTCATTTGGTGTGTTTTGTGGTTTGCATGTCACTATTTATAATATAAGGTGGAATGGAACCACTTTGTATAATGACAAAAATATATAGGAGCCACGTAACTTCCAAGTTTCAGCGTAGGTCAAACACTCAATCCAAGGGAAAGCTGCTGCAAAAATAAATGGGAAAATACTTATCTCCTTTCTTGTAAGTAGGAATTCTTACTCTCTTGCCAATCAAAGTTTGAGATATGTCTTGCCAATCAGAGTTTGAGATATACGTAGAGATTTTTCTTTTTTCTTTTTAATAAATTATTTTCACATGTGTAGCAAGACGTCCTTCAGCAATGTCCAAATAAATGTATATCAATTTTTCTTATAGTATATCGTGTATCGTACGTCATTGTTGTACAATCTCATAGTTTTCTAGCATGGGCACGGCCTACTTATTAGGTCAGCAGCAGATGTACAAAATAGAGAGATCATTTGGTTGATATGTACTGCCAAGATCTAGTTCAATGGCAAATCAAGCTTGAATTTATTTAAGTGTGCTAAAGATATAGTACAAATGATCCATCCAAACACCACTTTGGGGCATGCTAAAGATATGTATCCTTATTATTATTTTCACCAATATCCTTGTTCCTTTTCTTTATAATCATCTGTTTCTCTTTATTTATTTATTTTTATTAAAGGGGGGGTTCGTTTAATGTAAAATTGAAAGCATTAGGTGAACCTGTAAATTTTCACATGATGCATAGTATTAATGCCTACAAAAGTTAAAGCTCAATGAAAAAACGAGTTTGAAAAAATTAAAAATAAAAATTAGGTTACACTTGATACTTTGAACTGATCTATTCTCCTTTATTCGAGCATATATAATTTGATTTGGTAGTCCTGATCTCTTGGACAACAAGAGTCCAAAAAATTGTGATCACCCACCGTTGGATATTAATCCAATTGTTCAAAAAAGTTTCTTAAAATGAGTGCAAGAGTGAGTGAACCGTTGAATTTACATCTAACGGACCCCTGTAATCCAAGAGATCAACAAGCTCCACCTAACAAACATGTTCCGACCCTTAATTGTATATGTCGAAGAATCTTGCTTTTCGGTTCGTTCCTTTCCATATTCAATGATTCAAAATAATGTCAATGAGCATCCTCAAAATTTCTATGGGGGTTGACAACTTTACTTTAGTGGGTGGAATTAGATTCTCATAATCTCATATGCATATATATCTAACATTTTCTTCTAAGTATTCATTTCACCGAAATTAAATGAGACAGTGAACGATAAACAATTCCTCAAAAGTTGAAAGTTAGATATATGGTAGTTATATACATTTTTCATTGTGCCATGCACATTCTGAGTGAGATTGCATTATGTTTTTATACTCCATGACCATGAGTGAGTGAGATTGCATTGGATATTGGAAAAGGAACTCTTTGCATAAGGATGGGAAACCTAGCACGTGGGACGGTGAGAGCACAGCTGTTGTGTTTCCCAGCTTGCCATGTGCACTGTTTGTTGATTTTTTTGTTCATAAATTTACTCCAACCGCCCAAAACAATTTTAAAAACAAAATAGACATGTTTATTTCTGTCTGATTCTTTTTCGTTAAATGAAACTATGTTGTGTGTGTCAGCTTGAACAAAATTCTTAACTTAAAGCTTATGGGTGATTTTGTTTGGGTTTAGGATCTGTTAAAGCAGAAGCTTGGAGTAACCGACATTGCTGATACAGCTCCACGTCACTGCATACATGGTGGCGTGGAATGCACTTCCGTTGTGGGACTCTGTTGTCTTTTAACACTGTTTACCACCACTGGCGGACCTAGAAATTTTTGAGCGGAGGTGCAATATTGACTAAGTATGAAAATGGTTTTTCAGAATAATCATTTTCTCAAGATAATTTTTGGCGGCTTTTATTCCTTATACATCAAATAAGAAAACTTGAATTTATGGAATTTTAGTATGAAGTATATATTGACTTAATGAGTCATCATTTTTAGCTTAAATCGTATTTTGCACTAAAACCGAATTTTCATATTTTGATTTGGTGGGAATTTGATTTTCTAGTATTTTTATTTGAATCCAAATAGGGGGTACTTCCTTATTTACATTGTAAACTTAAGTAAATGGAGTAATATAAAAATAAATAAAAGTAAAAAGACAAAGACATTTACTTAAATGTTGAAAATGGAAATAAGGTAATCTGTACACCAGTTGAGCAAAGGGACAATTTGAAGCACCTACAATGATTTTTCTGACGAAGGGAGGTGCAACTGCACCTCCTTGCGCCTTAATAGATCCGCCTCTGTTTACCACCATTCGCTATTTGGCTGGAAAATGTGACAGTCGGAACTTGGATTGGAACCGCGTCTTTCTTAATGACTTTCGAATACGAATTATTTATTTATTTATTTATTTCGTTAGTATATAAAGATAAAAATCACAAAGTTAGCATAGTCAGGATGGCCGAGTGGTCTAAGGCGCCAGACTCAAGTTCTGGTCTTCGAGAGAGGGCGTGGGTTCAAATCCCACTTCTGACATTTATTTTGCCAATTTTTTCTTTGATTAGGTTTTTACTTCATTAAATTAGTGCCCTCCAAAGAGTTTTTAAACGAATATGGTTCATTGAAAATTGAGCATACCCAAAGCCAAATGTAAGTTACCATCAATGACAAGAAAGCTTATAAATTTGGTAAATTAATATTGGGTATCCAGAATGTCAACAAAGCATATGAGTAGAGTGTTCTGTTCTGCGGCAAAGGGTAATGGCTACAGGATACATGTGGAAAAAGTTTACCACTTTTCGGGCAATGATGTGCATGTTGTTGCCTTGCTTTGCTTGTGTGTATTGATGATGACTGTGATTCGTAGAATATCTGTAGTATCCACCTCAAAAGAAAGACTATACTTAGAATAACACACAACCACCAACCCTAAATTGAATACTGATCGATCAGCTAGCTTAATTAGCTGTAGAGAATGGCATTAATATGATCTCCCTTCTTTTTAACTTCAACATATATACATATAATATAAAGAGAGCTTCCGTTGAGAAATTCCTTAAATAAGTTTATTTGAGGGACACCCTTGTAGGACTTACTCCGTATTGTATTTTACTAATCCATACTGTCTATTTTGTAGATATTTATTCAAAAATCATCTCTACAAAAAATCACTTGAATTCGATATCATTTAACTACTCAATTGAATTATTGAAAGTTTAGTACTTTCTTGAAGCACCGTATTCATTGATTTTGTAGGACACAATTGGATGTCGAAACAATTTTCAATTTGTGAAATTTTTTGCAAGGATGATCTTTGCATGTAGACTTAAAAAAATAGATGGTTTGGATCGTTGAAAAAAAAATTCACAAGGGACCCAAATGGTATCCCTTAAATAAAATTATTTGAGAAATCCCTCAATAAAAAGACACTATGACAGGATGCTAATTAATCATCCTATTAACTCATAATCACAACACTTGAGGATAAAGTAAAAGAGTTTAAGTTGCTTAAAGTATGTTGTCTAAGGTCAAGATATTAATTTGTGGCTGATAATAATCCAATCCCCAGCACACCAAAACTAGTGGTTCTGTTATGACCCAAAAAACAAAAACAAAACTATTGGTTTTGAAATCTTTTGACCATGTATGCATGCAAATGCAAAAAGTGATGAAATCCTATATACATAGGTTATCAAGTTATTGGAGGAACCCAACATGATGACATGCAAAAGTGGAATGTCTACGCTGCAAATGCAAAAGGTGTCTGCGCTCCATCCTTCATATGTATATAATTTGTAGCATGTGCAAGAACTAACAGCAGAAAGTTATCTTATCTTGGACCAAATTAACGTTCTTTATATTTTGGGATAAGAATTCGCAACCCCATATTGTGCACAGTGCACTGCACAGGGTGTTATCCAACGACTGTCGTTTCATTTGTTGGTACTTTTAAGCAACTTGACGCAGTTGCAGTTGGTCCTAAAAAAGAGATGAGAGTACGTGGATCAAAATAAAAAACTTATGTGATATACAGTTGAATGAAATTGAAATGTCTTTTTCCTATTTTCTTTTTTTGTACTGTGTTAATATGCACGAAGATAATCCTTTTCTTTCTTCTATGTGCATTGGAAAACCGTCCCAAAAAGTCTATTGGCAAAGAAGAAGATATTACGTAGAGTTTGTGGGATTGTGGCATGTTATCCGTCGTGTAAAGGAACACAACAATCTCACACCACACTTTGGAGTAGAAAACCACGACGGGGACATGGCTTTTTCCGCATGTCACTCAAACTTACATGGTTTGGTTCATTTTTCTTTCTGACTTTTCGCTGATAAGTCATTGTACTAATACTAGCAAGTAGGTATATATGCATCTGCATGCAGATAGATAGGGTATCTTTTTTGCTAATATACTTTATCTCTGCTTTTCTTTTTACTTTGCTGCATGCATATCTGTGGATCTTGCAAATGGCACAATTAATTCATAAAAATGAGTCTATTAATCCAAGTATAAAATAAAAGGCAGCTGCCTGTGTGATGACAAAGCTATGGTATGGAATGCAGGACTAACCCCGTAAAACTTTTGCTGTTGTTTTGCTTTCGGGGGTCTGAAAACCTCAGATATCTAGCTTTATACAAATAGCAGAACAATCTAGAGCCTTGTACGTACTTATCTTCTCCACTAAGCAACTGTGCTTTTGTCATCATCTCTTTCTATTAAAATACAATGAAGAAAACAATCAAAGAAGACTAACTTTGAAAAGGCTATATATACACACACACACACACACACACGTTTGACTCACGACAGAATGGCCTCTCTGTCTCAACAGTATGAAATACTTGATGGTGGATCTCAATTTAGGGGAGACTGAGTTGAGTTTGGGTTTTTCTTGGGTCCTGGAGGATTATTTGACTGGGTTGAGTGAATGGCCCAAGTATTTTGGGGCAAATAAGACAAATTGCTCATGATCTAGTTTAGTTTGGGCTCATGGGCTTAGTTTTGTAGACTGTCCATTTCA